CTATTCGCATTATGAAAGGACTAGCAGTTTGTGTGTCTTTGTCCTCACTTTGTACGCATTGGGTTTGGGTCTGTGCATCTGTCTCTCTGACCATTTTCTTTTCATGCCAGTCTACGTAACTCCAGTCCAAAGTTTTATCCACTTCCTTCCCGTTTTCACTTATGAAAGCATAATTCAACTCCATCGTCTTGAGTAATCCGGCATTATATATCCAACAACAGAGGACTGATTAAGAATCAGATGCAAGTTTGGCTTGAGTCATTCCCACAAAAATGTGTCCAATCCCAAAATCCATGTCTCTGGAGCTTCTGAAAAGCAAGAAAGGATTAGAAAAGAGCCTTTGCGTAGACCCTTTGCGTCTAAAGAAAGTTACTCACTAAGACCAAATGGGCAACTGCAAACAATAATTCAAACATTTCTACTAATTAGTTGTGGTGAAAAAGAGAATAAAATTATGTTTACATAAATTCCAGAAAACCTGCACTTTCATCAGTAGTTGATAACTCTATAACGCAACAACAACTCTTTTAAGGCCCTTCAAACTCCAACATAAATTTTGTTCACAAATTGGATTAAATGGGTTAATCTGCATTTACCAATACTTATGACGTCAAGCACCCAGACATTGAAAGCCCCTATAAACGTTATGCAATTTCAATAATTCAATAAATTCAATAATTCAGGAGGATTATTTACCACATTCTCAATAGGCAGTTAGTAGTTTATCATTCAGCATTCTTAAGTGATATTCTTGAGTCCATATTGTATATATACACTTATTATATCATTAGTAAGTACTTATGTGTGTTTATGCATGCTGTATGTTCAGTTTCTAACTTTTAACTATTAGCCTGTCTGTTTTCTTCTGTGGAGCCTGCAGAAACTGGGTCATTACATGAAACTGGGTGCCTTTTCCATTGAAACATTTTATTTTTAAAAGCATATTTCATATATATACATATCTGAAAATGCCTTCTTGTTACTAAATTGATTGTGCCATCAGCTACACTAAACAATAGCTTTACAGTTAATTTATTCACTACAATCCCGGTGCTGAAGGTCATGAATCTACAAGGTATTTATTAGAAAGGGAATTTAATGCTGATATTTCTACAAAAATCTAGTTTTCGATATTTGTTTATGATACAAAATCATGATTTAAGAGTTGACTATATAAGATCAACCTAAATGAATTAAAAATAGAAGTTTGCAGTAATAATTTTAGGAATATCAAATTCACAATAATAATTTTTGTTTACAGATTATGGTAACACGGTTAACATGTTAAGGTCAGGTAAGATCTAGAGTGCTAAATATAAATACTATATTCTTTAATTAAGCAAACACATCCTTCATACAGAAAGACAACAATAATGTGCCTTTTATAATATAGTAAAAACCATGTTTTGTCAATGTTTACACATTTTCATGGGAAACACAAAGGGCAGCTTTTATAAGGAATGACCCAACTACAGTACATTTTCAGCATTAGCCTATATTTGATTACCGCATGCTTTATTGTTGCATTATAAAGAAGCTTTGACTCGCACCATCACTGTGACAGTGCAGCGTGGGAAACAAAGGCACCTGATCCTGCTCTAACAGACATGGGCAACTAGTGTAGGCTTACGGTGAAGATCATTTTTTAAAAATCCAGTCAAAGCCATGCAGATGTAATAAAAACATGCTGTAAAATACC